AAAGTTCTCTTATTAGTACGCGTTTTCTTTTTAAGACGTCGACTGGCAGTTATTTCTCCACCATTCATTGCTTTCAGCTGGGCCATTAAAAATATATCTTGTTCGGATCTAGAGAGAGCTTGAGATGCCTCACGTAATTCGCAAACCCTTCTCTCGGAATCAGTGTTGAGCAACCACAACTGCAACCTATCTCCAAAAAACGTATTGCTTTGTCATATTCGGTGGAAGCGTTATAATTAGAAATTTTCATATACGGGTAATCCTATATATAAATTTTAATACTTTTGTGTGTAGCAATCAAGTTTCTTTATGCATTTACCCTTTATTTTTGGTATGCCAGAAGGAGAACCGATTCACGTGTGATCGGCATCTACTGTAAATGTTGCCGAATCACAAATTTTCCTGCTCACTTCCGACCGATATTTGTCCATGCACTTGTAACTTTCACTTGACAGTGTATAAATATTTACATTAAAGGTAAAGATTCTCAAAAATTAGTGTTAAAATTTTTAGTTATAATGCAATTCAAGGAACCAAATCCTTTTATTCTCAAGTAAAAAAACTTGCCATATTTTAATATGTAATATAAAATTTCCGACAAATTTTGTGAGGACTACAACATTAAATGATAACGTATATGCCTCCCTACATTTCTAGAATCTGCTAGTCCGAGGTGGTAACCGCACGTAGCTGCCATGGCACTCGAGTAAACAATATAAGTAAAAATGGCACTCGCATGCGCTGACAACAATAGATATATAAGAAGCGTGACTTTCCGTTAGTACTAGAATTCATTATAACATTTATCCATTTTTCCAATCGATAATGGAACAAGACATTTTATTCAGCTGGAATTCAAATATCGTGGACAATAGTGAAAACATTGCTAGGTCTACCAATATGCGTTAAATAACATATTCATTTATTGTATAGCATCGTGAATAATAATCGTAACAATACAGTCAAACCTCGCTGTACCGACACCCGTTATAACCTTTGTACCGATACACTTTACTATTAAATTCCTCTCTACCCAACCATTTACTAAATTTGGAATAGTTCAAACAATAGAGTCAGAAATTAAAACCAACAATATACGAACATCGACGGAGAAACAGCTGGCTGGAAATCTAAATGAAAGAGATAGTATCTCTAGTAAGTCGTTTTCTCTTAAGAGGAAGACGAAATTGGCCATTCATTCTATTGTAATTGTCTACTGAGCTTGCTTATGATGGAAGCATACGTTTAAAATTCGGCCCTTAAGAAGCAGCTTGTTGCATTTCAAAAAAAGAAAGAGCAAATGTCCATCGATACTTTTATTCGTAATTGCTATTTGGATAAACAATTGTCAGGTGCAACACGAATAGTCTCGTGTTGGTGTTTTGGTGTGAAGTTATAGCGACAAGTTATTAATGTGATGCTTCAACGTAAAATCACAAAAGATAACGCGACAAGCAATACAGCACCGTAGTAAAGTTATTTCGTGTATATTTTGTCGCGCGGAAGGCATACCAAATCCGGCAGTATGTCTTATAGTGGAACGCTGTAGATTTAAAAAAATGGAAACACTTAATTGACACGTCTTATATACAACTCTGCATGTATTATATAGTCGAAATGGTTCACTTTAATAAAGTATGATTGTGATGACTATAAACCCTCTTGTTTTTGACCCTAACCGACTCCATGGTGCTTATAACAATTCTGTAATTCGCGAAATTACGCTTATTGTCTATATAATATTCCACATAAGACACATACATTTTATGCAGTTCTCTAGCAAAAGCAGGCCCTAATCTGGGTAATATATGGATCAGAAAATCAAAAGTGGATATTTACCATGTTTATAATATTCAAATTATTTTTTTTACTAAATTTGGTCGAAATAGAGAACAGACCTCTTGGGCCAATTATTAAACTGACGGTTAGCAGCCGCATAATTTTATTGGTGCAGCTCATCTTTATTGTAATACCACGGCGCGTCGTTATCAATTCGCTGATCCTATGGAAGTCTATTTTCGAAAATGGTCACAGACGGAAACTATGTTTTATATTACTATTAGGGACCTGATCAAAGAGCAGAAGTTTTTGGCTGTTAAATTGGTAACGTGTTCGAGTGTTACTGAGTCTTGAAGCCAAAAACAGGGGGGATTGTTTGTTACAACACCAGTTGACATTGCTAATTGCGAGTTCTGTTTTTACTGTATGCAGATCGCGTGATTTTTTTCGCTTGCGTATAATTATACATCTTTTTTTTCTATCGATTAAATGACACCCAACGAGCACCACCTAATCCCATCCTTCTAAATTAGCCATACAATACTGTATATCAACGACTTCCTTAGGAGCAGTCACGCTCAATACAATCGGTTCGGTCTCACCAACTAGTACATTGTCTTCTATTCGTATTCCAATACCTCTATATTGTTCAGGGTACTCATTCTTGAATGGAACGTACAATCCGGGCTCTGTGTTGTAATCATGTGAATAACTAAAAGCGGAGGTTACCATGATTATAAAGATCTTCTAATTACCTATTGTGACCACCATTCCTTCCTTTAGTTTCCGGGAGCGATCTAGGTCGGGGGTATCATGAACATCGAGCCCAAGGTAGTGGCCAACGTGATGAGGATACAACGTTCGATCGAGATCCTAAAGAAAAATATGAGACTCATATGCAGCACGGTCAGAAGGAAAAAAAAACCAAGATTTATGGTATTACCCCTTCTGATAGTCTGAATCCAAGTTGGGATAGTTCTTCGTTCATGAGTTTAAGTGACAAATCATGTATACCGTTCAAAGATATACCATGTTTTTCAGTGCAGAGCTACCAGGACAAGAGGGCAAGATGATTAGATAACACCTTAGCTTACCCGCAATTATTATGCGTTCATTACTAAATATCAGAAAGATAGTTGATTGTTGGGTTATACATTCGTGTCAATTCATATACCTTTATACATTCTCTGTTAACCTTGAGTACTACTTCATACAACTCTCGCTGAGGCCCTGTAAATTTGCCATTCACTGGCCATGTACGCGTCATATCACACGCGTATCCGTGATATTCCTAAACAACAAAGAATTTCATTATTACAATTATTGCCTGAAAACGGGATAAGTCATTGACAATTCAGCATACTTACACCTCCGGCATCCATTAATACCATATCGCCATTACTATCGATTCACCAAAATATATCGTTAGTGTCGCGCACTTTTACTTGTACTTGTCTTCAGTATTAGATTATAATTGTAGAGGCACAACTAATAAAATACCGTAAAGGCATGTTATTGCTCACATAATGCATCGTAAGAGCATTTGGACCACCAGCTACGACAGGAACATAGGCAAGATACTCTGCACCGCGTGTTCGACACTCAAAGTCTATCTTCGCGTACAAATCGTGCTCGAGAAGACCAGGTTTCGTGTATCGCATGGTCTATTCAAGTTATAGTCAATAATCTATTAAAATTTTGCAACATTCACATTAATTCTTAAAGTACCTCAATAAAAGCCTTCCCCGTGATTTCACCAGCCTGTCTCATCAATTTAATTTCAGAACTGCTCTTAATAATTCTCAGGTTCTGTACTATTCGACTCAGTGGCTTGATTTCGTTTGCTTGATCATTTAAACCAGTGAAATAACGATGTAATGCTAAGCGATCCAAGAAGTCACTCATCTTACGAAACCATGACAGAAATGCAATACCACGTGTGCGATTGAAATTCTTTGTCACATTCTCAGCTGAAAGGAGATTGGTACGTGGAGGGAGGTCAATATAGATTTCTTGGTAGTTTTTCACTATGTCTCTGACTTTCATATTAAATTTTGCGGATTCCATGGCCTTTAAAACAAGAAGAACATAAAAGTTAGCTTACTATGGTGATTGAACAAGATCGACAACGTATATGTATGTTTGCGAGTGCATTAACCTTATAAGCGTCACCATTAAAGCATATTATTACCTCGTCCGCTCCAAATACATCAATTGCGCCATGAACTCCAGTCCGTGAACCATCCCACATTTCAATTCCTTGATTTTTGGGCGGCACAAACATTGTCATTTTGTAACCTCTTGGGCTGCTATTCTTTTCTTACATGAAGGAATTATGTATTAGTTCGAGAACGAAAAACATTTATTCTTATACAAGTACAAAACCATTATACCTAAAATCATAGCCGCATCCGGTTCATTGAAACCTAATTCATACGTGTTTAGTTTTTCTATTAAAGCAGTGAGACGTAAAAAATCAAATAATGAAGAAATAGATACCACATAAATAGAAGAAATCTGTATTCTGATGGAACGGATAACTAGATCAAAAAAAAAAGCATTTTGTGAGAATTAAATTATTTCATTAAGGACATCAATTCACTCGCATTATTATCGCATCATAGCAGTTTCATACGAACAATACTTTGTTTGACATATAACGCGTCCGATAGCCTAAAGAAATTGCCACGCTATTCTCTGGGAGAAGTTTCATCAGTTGAGTTCGCCGAAGTTCGTATTCAGCAGCTGAGATTCCCGGCGTAACTAAAACGTGCTCACGTTAACTAAAATGTTAACCAATGGCAAGAATGCATTCATCACAATCGAAGACTATAATTACTTTCTCCTGGCTTCAAGAGATGCGGGTGTGTTTGTGGAGTCGGTTGCCCATATTGCCTCGACATTAAGGTGCCGAAATGTCTCCGAAGCGAGCTCGGTTCAGTACCATAAACTATTTACAAGCAGATAGTTTAACATAGGGAAAAGAAAACCAAGATCGCGGCAAAAAAAGGCCACCTTAGAGCTTACGTGTGCTGAGCAAGGACACCGAGCGTGTGCACTTGCAAAAGATAGAAAGTTTTAACCGAAACATGGAAAATATAGTAATAGCAAAGAAAACTTCTGATTTTGAAAATTTCAAAGGGGAAATTATCAAAAAAACGTGACATCTTTATACATTTATCATCTTTTTGGTTTATTTTAAATAGCTTATGTCTTCGTTTTACACATGACCTTCACCGGCCGTAAACCTATAATAACTCTCCCTCAGATATTCGAAGAACCCGTTCCATTGAAGCGCAAACTCGCCCAATCTCTCTTCTTCGCTGTGCTTTTTGTTGCCCTCGCCACCTCACTCTTTGTAAACGTATCATATTTCTCTTCGTGCAATGCAGACAAATCAGACGCAAGTATCATAGAAACATCGTTAGTGGATGACTTGCTTCCACCTCCACCACATCCCGAACTAAAGGATCTGATCCTTGTCGCAGGGCATGCAATTTATATTGGGGATACTTTTGAGGACATAGAAGACGACACAAACTGGGTTTTGGAGAAGTTTCAAAGAGGTGGCCAGGTTAAGGTTTTTCTGAAGCATATAGAGAGAGGAGTCGAACTTGCTCAGCAAAATGAGGAATCATTATTGATATTTAGTGGGTGCGGAGGTTTCTCTTGAATTATCTTAATTACAATGTTTAATGATACAACTTAGCTGACGAGTGTAATTGCGTTAATGATATCTCTCAGCGGCCAGACTAGACCAACAGCGGGTGCTCGAAGCGAAGCGCAGAGTTATTGGGTAATGTCCCTTTCCCAATTAAAAGAGGTCGAACAAATTCAAACACGACTTTTCCTTCCAGTACAATTCGTTGTTTGTTCTCGATTCTTTGCTTACCATTCACGTTCGTACATTCAAAATAGCGTTTAGCACAATCTCTAAGTTTTTTCTCTAATCTGGGAAATTCTCCCTTGGACATGTTTCCTCGTGCGACAACGGAAGAATATGCCCGCGATTCATATGAAAATCTGTTATTTTCTCTCTGCCGTTTCTATGAATTCACAGGACATTATCCGCGAAACGTTACTGTTGTAGGTTTCGAGTTTAAGAAGAAACGATTTATAGAACTACATAGAGCAGCAGTAAAGTTTCCTGAGGAAAGGTGAGTCTGTTACGAATAGACAAATTGGCAACTTTATTGATTTCGGAACTAATGCATTAATATTTATGCGAATTAAAGATTTTCATATGTTGGAATTGATTCAGATGGAATTGCTCAAGAGAGGCAGACCAAGGTAATAAATATAAACATTCGTATGATTAACGTTACGAATCTCCATGCACAAAGTACACCATTCAATGTTCATTCGTCTTTTGAATATATACAGAAAGTTGACATTTTCGAACCATTTAAAAAAGACTTGTATGGTTGTTCAGGGAAACTACGTGAAAAAAAAATTGCACGTAATCCATTTCGACGAAGGTGAGTTTTCGCTAAATTAAATCCCTACATCCGCCTCTCTGCTAATTACTCTACGTCACTATCCAGTCACTCGTATAGACAGAGCTGCCCGTCCATAGCTGCTTTATTTAACTATTGTCCAAGGAGAAGAGCATCAATTTATCCCGGTAACTTGCCTTGGGAATGAAATAGATTGCCGTCTGAATTAACGTGGGGCACAAAAGGGAACGAGTCACGTAGAAATTGCAGGAATTTGACACGCTGAACGTCCATGCCATCCAAGCGGGTCGCGATGATCAAGGTTTAAAGCCTCTCGGCTACTTATTTTCTTCGTTTCTCAATATATTTTATTAAATTTGAATTGCCACATGTGTCTTCTAGATCAACAACAATTGGACAGGAGGAGCTTGCTGTCAAGATATCCGCAATATTCCTTTTTGAAAATAACAATCCATTTTATTATTAAACCTTACGTGAGGTCTGTTGTCACGTGATATCACATGCTTCTGTAACAACAGAAATAAAGTGAGGGAATATACGTATTAGTATATTAATATTAATATTAATATAAAAAGTTTGATCAATGCGCGAATGTTTTGTATGGTTTTCACTATGGATGGCGTTATGACGAAATTTGTTGTCCAGAAAACAGCTGCATTTGGGGCAGACTGCAACAAAACCAGACAAAGTAAAAGTGGACATTTTATTATTATTATGTGACATAAATAAGAGGCTGGTGTGGCTAATTGACTAATGACATTTTGATTATCACAGCTGTAACTTATACACAAATTTACATAAATTACAGTTTCAAATTAAAGTCATAACATGGTTAATATAGGATTACCTCCATCTATAAAATAATAAATATGGAATTAATTCCACTATGGACCAAAAAATTACAGCACTATTTATTAGAAGCATTCTAAAAAAAGAACAAGGTGAAAAAATTGCCCGGCGTGCTAAGGACTAAACCAGGACGAGCTGATTCTGCCTTACATTTTTAAAATCAATGTTACCAAGATCCTTGAGGACTATCTAGATAAAGAAAAAATCACTTATGAAATTTACCAAGAACGAAAAATAAAAACCAATAAACGAACCTTAACCCAAACACATGATGAACCAAGAAAAAAAAAACAGAAATAAATCTAAATAATTATTTTCTTTTTATCAGGAGTACCATTTGATGAGTAGCAGGGCAATCAATATTAGTATCAAAGTTAAAGAGAGTCATCCTTTGCTATTTTCAGAAATCTATCTATTTCTTTTGAACAATAAAGTCTGGAATTTTTCCTTGGCTTTTTCTTTGGCTCTACTTACTAATTTTTGAGTTTGCATAATCTATTTTCTTTCTGTTTTTTAGGTAAAGCTGGTAATTCCTTTACAGAAACTTGCATTTTTTAAAAATGTCTCGATGAGATTTGCAGGACGTTGTGCTGATAACCATGTGACATTTACAATCAGAAAATATTGCTAAATTTCTATTAGTATCCTGGCAAGATTCTGCTAGATTGTTCAACTTCATAAAATTTCCATGCATCCCCAAAATCTCGTGGGCGCACCTTCACGATACACTAAAATTAGAATCCTCATGGCGATCTCATTACGTGATGCCTGTTAGATAGTGGTGATCTTATTCTGATGTCACAGAGAGATTTATAAAAACTACAGGTTTCTGCAAAGTCTTTGGTTGCTAAATAATCTCTTCTGCTTTGGGGTTATTTAAAGGTTAGAAAAAAAGTATACAGTTGAACACATCTTGAAAAGCATAGAAATTTTATTTGGTTCACTTCTGAAAAATATTCGGCATATTAATATTATATTTAATATTGTTAAAAATAATGTGGAGAATATAGGAGAGTTGAAGCAATATATGATTGAGGAAGTTTTATTTTGTTCGTAGAGCATGTTGTCGGACTAGCTTACACTTGGGAGAGCAGCGGTGTACTAGCCGTTTTGGGATTTAGTTCTTTTCCGACAGAAGCTTTTGCTCTTCCTAAATATCGATACAATTAGTGACCTTTAACTAGGATTTATACTCATGATCTATAATATCGGTCTTGTATACGCTGTCCCTAGATTATTGTTTAGCCTGCGATGGGATTAGTTTCAAAGCCTATCGAAATGGGAAATTTATCTTATCTAAAGCTACTAGTAAAAATTAAACAATAATCCTGATTGCAAAAGTGCTAAATAGAATTAATTGGCAAGGATTAATTCTATTCACCGCTGACGGGGAAAGCGAAAGATTAATTCACACGAAGGAACTTTGTAAAAGAAAATCCAATTTGTAGTTCGAGTCCCTCTCATCTCAAATATAGCTCACTTCCGTAATTTCAAGGAATGCAGGTTCAGTGATAGAACACTAATCGAATGTATGTTTTCATGCAAAAACAGTTAGATTGATAAAAACAAATAGCCGCTCGATTGTAAGCTCAGCCTCAGTGAAGTGGGAGCGGGCGGAATCTACCGACAGCAAATTAGCCCATACTCGCAGCAGTTCTGTATTCAGTCAAGAAGGGTCTTCTGCGTGCAAAAGTTTTTTACATAACAATAAGAATTCTGCACTAATAAATTTCAACTTCAGTGTTTGTAAACCGGGAATGTTATCACCTCTATCACGGCAATTATGTCAGGGCTTAGATTAAACAGCTATTATTCTTTGCCCGCATTTCTTTTCCACTTGTCTTCCATTCGATTTTTCCGATGCCGTCAGATTTTACTGGAACATTCTAGACTAAACTCTCACGTAATCTCTATACGAGGAATTTTGTGGAAATAACGACTCTTGAAACAAAGAAAGCTTGCATGATTTATGACGCAGCCTGGTTTGATTATGATGCCCATTTAATGCATTGTCATACTCTTCATGTGTTCCATACAACATTTCCAGAGAGCCTTCAATGCATCGTAGTACCAATATGTGGTTCTTATTAAGGACAAAGCTGTTTGTTCGGACGGTCTTGGACTAGTCCAACACGACAATTCTTCTCTGTATGCAGTCACAAAGTTAACGGACTATAGCCTTGTACCACAAGAATTAGCAACTCCTGCAGAAAAACTCTTCGTCAGTTGGGTATCGATGATATGTCAGTTATAACTTCATTATAATAATATGTTAATATTCGTCAAATGTTAAATCTGAACGTATTTTATTTTGATTGGTCAATAATCTTCAGTACAAGGCTGAACTGATGACTATTTTTCGACTAGTAAATTCTTTGACTACAAAAGATGTTCCTAATTAGGATTTTCCCATTGAAATCAATTTGGTACAATTGACTTTATACAAACCGACAACTTTGGTACATTAACTGTAGAATTTGTTTTCTCTATAATATTCGTTGCATTCTATGTCGAGACACATGATATGTACGACCTACCACAAGATGCACAAGATGTCGAATTTTTGATATTTTCCTCAAAAGGAAGAAATAATTTGATGCAAATCGAGCCATTATCTCTGATTTTATTCATAGAGAATGGTCGAGTCGTCCTTGGAACTAGGCTGTTCTATCCCTGCTAATACTCCTCATGCAGTCTCTGTTGCTCTTCCAAAATGGCAGGACAATGTCGATTACGAAGAGGGAAAGGAAAGAGTCCTCAGTCGCATGGTTACAGGATATCCTAGATTTTTTATACATAAAGAAATTCAGAAAGTAAGTTAAAGATAAAATTTTTAATACATAGTCGCGACGTTGTAGAATAATAAGAGAATCGTTGCCGTAAAATCTACTATGTATACTTTCGCATTTTTACTCGTGCTATACCATAACTTGACTCTTTAACATGCAGGTCCACTATTTGCGACTAGAATAATGAATGAATCTCAAAGTTAACACATTAATCATACTCTACTCTCAGCTTATATTAGTCTGCAATCGTAAATTTGCTAAACCAAAGGAAACATGTCTCCTCTTCCCCACTCGCAAAGCGGCTCAACGCTGTAAAGAATTTCTTAATTCCTACTATATCCCCTCTGCGTCCGCCACACAGATGCACCCACGCTTAGCAGAGATATCAGTTCTTCCCTCGAAAGACGACGTTTCGCCCACGTTATCTAAATTAATGACTCTTCACGTGGTATTATTTCCGGAAGATGCTTTCAGAATCGCCAAATCATTCTGGCAACATTCTGGAGAAGGCATATCCTCACGTATGGCTGAATATATTCTCTGGCTGATGCAGACACAACAATATGGACAATCGCACTTGGAAAATGGTAGTAGCGCTCTATCAAGACGACTATCATTTAAAAACAGGTACTCGAATCCAAAAGTCTTTTGTAGTTCACAGCTATACAAACAATCATCAGCATTTGAAGGGCATGAGAATTTAAATCAACCGTCGTTTGAGGAGAACCGCTACGTAGAAGAGAGATATGGGCGCAATTTACACATAGCATTTGCTGATAAAGCGAAAGCAGTACTAAGAAGGCGCATAGCAGGCACTATGGGGGTTGCTGATAAGACTGAGGTCGAGTTGGATGACTTGGACCATATGCTGTCAAGCGATCTAGCAACGTCTTCGATAGCTGAGCGTGGTGTTAGTGGTGTGACTGAGGATGACGTATATCTATTTTCATGCGGAATGAATGCTATATTCTATACACATCAATATCTCTTGGCTGCTTTTCCGGCTAGGAAAAGTGTATGTTTCGGGTAAGAATTGTAATGCGTGAGGAGGGGTAATTCTTGTTGTTAAATGTAAAATGGAAATCTGTTGGGAATGTAAATCAATCTTTTAGCTTCGGTCATAAAACTCGTACATTTTTAATAAATTTATTGTTCCATGATATGTAGGTTTACATACACGGATACTTTGAAAGTGTTGCAGAAATTTGGACCAGGGTGTTTTTTCTTCGGAAACGGGTCACCTGAAGATATTGATGAACTTGAAAAACTCCTCGAAGCCGGTGAAAAGATTTTGGGATTGATCTGTGAATTCCCTTCTAATCCATTGTGCAAATCACCCGACTTGAAACGCTTAAGGGCATTGGCAGACAAATATGATTTTTTGATTGTTATCGACGAGACACTTGGCAATTTCATCAACGTGAGCGTGTTGGAATGGGCAGATATTTTGGTTACTAGTCTGACAAAGGTCTTCAGCGGAGACAGTAACGTGATGGGCGGGAGGTATTTATCTGTGTATTCTTTAATTTGAGTAGCCTGGACGTTTTAT